TGTTCTTGAGCAGCAATGTGGAGCATTGTCCATCCATCGTTACCTTGGGCATTTATAGTTACTTCATTCTGTTGAAATAACATTTTGGCTATTTGCAGATCAGCACGAGCAATTGCCAATTCGAGAGAGGTTCTGTTTTTATTATCTTTTGTTTCAACTATTGCCCCATTTTCAAGAAGAATTTCAACAACTTCCGCATGTTTCCCACCTACAGCAAGGTGTAGAGCAGTACCAGAATCACTCATGATGTTCACGTCAGCATTTTTTGCAATTAAAATTTTGGCAACTTCTTCATGACCTTCTGCAGATGCCAGAAATAATGGTGTCTCGTTTCTAACATTTACAGCGTTAACTTCAGCTCCTCTACAAATCAAAGCACTCACTGTCCTTTCATCACCCTTTACAGCCGCTAAATGTAAGAAAGTAGTATTTTCCACTTCTTTATGATGGATATGAGCTCCGTTTTTCAGAAGAGCCTCTATTATATCCTGGAAACCTAAGATAATGGCAAAATATAGCGGATGCTTTTGGTTTTCATTGACATAGGCTCCATGGGCTATAAGTAATTCGACAATTTCCACTTCATTAGACTGCACTGCCGACATTAGTGGAGTGGGAGATGATTCACTTGAATTGACATCAGCTCCATATTTAATCAAAAGCTCAACAATTTTTTTGCTCCTTTCTAGAATGGCTAGATACAGTGCTGACCCATCTTTTAACATTTTTGAATGAGCCGGACATTTTTTTTCCAACAAAAGCTGAACTATTTGCTCATGACCTCCACTAATAGCTGTACATAAATACAACATTTTGTTTACATCTGCATTATTGTTGATTAGAAGCTCAACAGAGTCCTTACATCCGCTAGTAATAGCAGCGTGGATTGGAGTTACATCTTTGTGATCTTTAGTTGAAACTTTAGCTCCATTCTGCAATAAAATACGGATAGCATCAACCTTACCCTTCGAAGCAGCTTCTTGTAACACTGTGGAACCATTAGTGTGTCTTGCATTAACCTTAGCCTTATTCTTTATCAAAAATTTGATTATATGCTCATGACCTCCTGAAGCAGCAGCAAATAACGGAGGTGGACTGAGAGTATTCTCCATATTAACATCAGCTCCATTCTTGACAAGGAGTTTTACAATTTCTAAATGGCCTTGAGCTCCTGCTAAATGC